GTTGTGAAGGCAAAGTCCGCATCCAGGCGATCCAACACCTGAGTTCGCAGTCGGCGCACAGTTTTATTTCGAATGCTTGTGATGGTGTCCATCTATATGTAAAGGATATCTTAACCTCCGTTTGCGATATCTTTGATTCCCGACACAGCAGCAGTAAGGACTTGTCGCGCGGGTATTTCCCGCTGCCGGCGCCTTCCTTAAACCGCCTGTAAAACCCGTAAATCTTTGACATTGAACGCGAGTCCCCCTTACTGCTGCTACGAGGCGTAGCCGAGTGGACCCGCATACTATTTTGACAATGTGATGACGAAATTTATTTGTTAATTTGTTAATGATATTATAGTACATTCCAAACGCTTCAAAATTGACATTGAATAATTCATTTATTTATATGTATTCCATATAACGATTTGTTAACAAATGTTTTATAATTTATATAATATATTTTTTTATTATTTATAACTTCGTTATCATATCTATGGTTTTAGAATTGGCAACATTTAAAAATTGACTTCAAATGCTATTATATTAGAGTATTATAATTTATTAATATATATCTATATTTATCTAGCGTTCGCGTAGAGAGACTGGTAACAAACTTATCACGCAATGCTCTATGGGGCCGTCGTCAAGAAAACACAAATTAGTCCCCCATCTTGGATCCCTCAGTTAAGAGTTTGACAAACTGGTAAATTTGTAAATTATATTCGAATTTTTCGCTTGTGTTTCTAACATAACCAATTAGAAAGTATGAAATCCAAGCAATATCTTCCATGTTCACTATCTTGCTCTATATATTCAGCGCCACAATTCCATGTGAGACTAGTTCTTTACAAGTGATCCTTTGAACTTCGAAAGAGAATGAATAATTATGAAAATACAATTCGATAGTTCATGCACATGCATTACGTCTATCTGCATGAAATGCATATGATTCGTGATAGCTTCTTGTACGGACGTGAAGCTGTGCCCGGGGTTCGCTATGCAAAAAAGAATAAAGAAGGAAAATGTGGTTGCATTTGTAAATAATGACTATATTTAATTTACAATGAAATATTAAGAAAACGTGTGAGGTTTGTAATGTTTGTCATGCGCAATACCGCGGCACTAATAATTAAATTATATGATTATTATATATTCTTTTGGCTTGTTTTATCTTGCGCCATTCATTCACTTATTCAGTTAATCAGTTAGTCACGTGATTTGTGTCACGCTGACCTGTCACGCGTTTGATAAAAATCATTCTCATAACTCATTATCAGAACTGATATGAATATCCTAGTTATTTAGTTCTGACAATATAGTTGTGCTACACAATTCCTATACTTTTTGAAAATCGTATAGTATTTTCGAGTTCATGAGTCATAATTGATGAATTTATTTACTGGGCCTAAAAAGTCTTCTTTTCTTCAGTTGGCATCTTGATCCTAAATGTCTATCATTACATCACGTGCCAGCCACGTGACACTTACTAGTCACGTGACACTTGCTAGGCACGTGACACTTGCTAGTCACGTGACACTTGCTAGTCACGTGACACTTGCTAGTCACGTATTGGTTAACTACTGATCCCATAACGCACCTGTCATTTATGTATCACCAGACACTTTTTCAGTCGCATGATAATGTAACATCTATAAGTCACGTAACTTATATCATACACGTGACTTGTATGGTCACATGACACTAACGCCTGCGTAACGTCTACGTCATTTGGTTTCCTTTGTCACATGACACCTGTATGTCACATTTATAAGTTTAAGTCACGTGATAATGATCAGTCACGTGACTTTTAACAGTCAATATTTGTCGATCAAACAGCTCCCACACCTAACCTGTTCATCTGCGCTTCGTGGGCCAGTATTCCCTCGATATCCATGGAATTAGCAGGAGTGGGCAGAATTCCACTGTAATTTAGAACATCAGAACTAATGGATTGACCCGAATTCCTCATGCTCTCGTAATACATGCTATTGTACCTTAACAAGTTTTGGTAATTCGAAAAGTCCACATCTTTTCCTTGATCACTGTAGGGAATATCTGACCTGTGGCTGATTGGAGTCTGGTGCTCAGTTGGGTGGATTCCACTAGTAAAGATACCCAACTCATTCGCATAACCAAACCCAAAATCCCCACTCCTGTGATAGCTCATTTCTAAATTTTGATCAGCTGACGAAACATTAGGATCAGCATAGCCGACGTTATTCAGTACTGTAAGAGACGGATTCTCTGGTTGGAACCAAGGATTACTTAAGAACTCCGGGTTAGCAATTCCAAGATTAGAATTAAAAATACTCTTGTCATATGGATTGATAAAGTCCTGTCCATGGTAGCTAGCTGTCATTTCGCTTCCTGGTGTAGCATTTCTTGACATTTCATCATTGTATAAATACTGTTGCACGTTCCTTCCTTGTCTGTCTGTCACAGTGTTGTTGCCAACCGAAGGTTGCAGTTGAAGTTGGCCGTAGGTTTGGTTTGCGATGGAGCCTACACTATTTGATGGTATCGAGGTTATTGAAGAAGGTATGATGGAAAGTGGACGTGGAACGATAGCTGGTGAGGATGCCGAAGCTTGCGGGATGCTCATAACGAATGAACGTGGAGCTGCCTTAACTTGCGATCTGCTGGATTCCGATTCCTTGTTTCTTGAACTAATTTTCACTTTCTTGTTAAATGTTTTGTCGCTGCTAACGTTGTTATTGTTGTTAATGCTATCATTATTGTTGCTCTGTGGTGTTTTGTCCTGGGTTTGACTTTCATCAGAGTGTCCAACGTTTTTCGTCTCCATGCTCTCGGCGCGCACCTCATATTCTGCCTGTTTAACGTTTACCCATTGCTCGATACTGTCATTACTAAAATCTGTATAAGAATTGCAGAATAAATAATTAACTATTTATAAATTATATACTTTGGTATATATACACATACTTAACTCCATATCTAATATAATAAAAGGCCACTGCAGCCCTAAGTTTGGCATTGTTTAACAAAAATCATGATTGCTCAAACTACGGGTTGAAGTAATTAACCTTTGAAATATTAGATATGGAGTTAATTTGTTACCAAGAACAAGGATGGCTTCTATGCCGGTGTGCGCATTAAAAAATGCGTGGGGAATGATGATACCCAGCATAAATTAGCTTTGCAACGAGCAATGTACACTGCTTAAACATTTTCTTTCCCCACCAGTCTTCTTTGTGTCGTTATATCGTAGCATTTATCACATATACACAAAATATACCCAACATTATGAAATAGCTGTTGAACTAATGAATGTCGCGTTCTGATTGGTCGTGCACGTGCGCGCACATTCCGTTGCGCCTTTCCTATCTAAAATAACGGTTATTGTAATTCGTATTTTATAAAAGAAATTAAAAACTTGCTTGTGTGCAGTTATAAAGCACTCACGAAATACGACTGAATCCTTCATTCTTTAAATTAATAGTAAAACGCTCTGGTCGAAGTCATAACAGAATTTCATTTCAGTCGACAAGAGAAATCTAGGTTGTACTGATGTCCCTGCTCGGAAAATGCTAACCAAGATAGTTGACCCATGATTCCCTTAATTAAGGGAACGCGGTCAAGTCAGCTTGATGTTATGATGTGTACGTGAACACATCAAATGTCTAGGGGAACATTCCATGGCTCGTAAACGACTTGATATTATTAAATTCTCTTTACACAATCGTACCTTCTTTTAGATGACTTTGAAGGGCTTTTTCCAGCTTCTTGTCAACTTCCAGCATTTTTTGATTCTCGATAATAAGAAGTACGTATTCCTGGAATGTAGCATGGATCAAGTGAAATACACCTGGAATAAAAAAAAAACATTGTAAATAATTTTTCTTTTTAAAGCGTAAAACAAAAGAAGTAGTTTTATTGATCTGCGTAGAGAAGGTGCGCACTGGGTTCCACGTCAAGGCATCCTGGCGTGCGGTCATCTGCCTCAATTTTTAGCTTTCAAAAGGCAATTTTCTGGCGTCTTTCGAAAAAGCATTAAAATGAAATGAGACACTGAATTTGATGTTGTTTCTGAATTTTACCCAACATTAGCGGCATGCCTTCGTTATCATTCTTCCTGTAAATCTAATAAGGTGGCCGATTGAAGACCCTTAAGACCTGAGGACATTGGATTAAGTTAATTATCCATAATATCAACCTGGAAGAAAAGCTGACATGGACATACTGAATTTTTTTACTCAATTTTTTTTAAAAATTCTTCATATTTAAACATATGTGATGAAAGCTTTAGAGATGTACAGCTATTTCAAAAAAAGTTGGTGAAAGTTTTGTCATATGCTGCTTACCAAACCTGAAATGTATCGGATTCATATATAAACAATTTCAGTTCAGAAGAAACTATGCCGAAAAAAACATACAGAAAAAGTGTGAGAAAATGTACATATTGTTTTGACTTTAAGCTGATTGCATTTCGGGCAACACGCAACAAAAACGTCACCAACCTTGCTTGAGATAGCTTTATACCTCTTAAGATTGTGTTAGGTAACTTACCAAAACTTGGAGCACTTCTGAGGGTAAGATCTTCTAAGACTTTGGAAGTAATAAAAGACCAGGATCCAAGGAATTTTGTTGCTCGTCTTTCGAATAACTCATCATCGCTATCATCACTGAGCTCCTGCGATACGTGTTATACATGTCAGCAGTATACATATGCTGCGCAAGCGTAGTTTGGTATTTTATGGAATACATTTGTCTAGATAGAGCATGCGCAGACGTTTTTCACTCGTGTTTTTAGGGGTTTGGTTATAACTTTGTGCCCTCTTTTTCAAAGGTGTTTTCTATCTTCGATAAATTAAGATGATGCAATGTGGTCTAGCTAGGGTACAAACAACACCGTATAAGGCATGATAAGCAAAGCGGTCTAAAGAACACGACACTCACCTTTAGAACACATCGATCAACCACACTATCCAACCATTCAGTGTAGGCTTCGAGAGGCGCTTGCTTGCTTAGAAGACCTTCGAATTCTTGAACAACTATAACGGTATAATAACAGCAAAATATTTTATGTTCAGTATGGTTCCGGCGTGACACATGGACCTGGTGCTAGACGACTTTGCAAGCAAGCTTCACAAATTGGATGATATAACAAAATAATTCATTGACAAATCTTTTGTTAAATTCAACCAAGATGGCGGCTATGAAGTCATGTACAAACGAAGAATACTTGGCATACCATGTTTCACATGCAGTGTTATATGTAACGTGATGTATAATGTATCACGTGCTTGTCGGTGGGTTGTAATGTTTCACGTGATTGCAATGTCTAAAGTGGCGTAATATAAACTTTGGCACTGCTTAACAAAGTGACTCCCATTGTTTTAAACACAATTTAAATAAAACTTAAAGGCCAAAATAAAATCGGTAAAAATTATTCAACTGTTTATTCATTCCAGACGGATAATGTCCCCCATAATGAAGATTAGGAAAAAAATCTAATTACAATGCACTACATACTTTTCTTTGTGAGTCTTTGATTTTCACCTTACTACTCTCACACTTAAAGATTTCGAAATTAAAAGTGTACACAACCCGAAACTGAGCAACCACGCCAGGGGCCTAGTTTTTTTCTTGATAAGGTTTTCCATGGACGACATTTTTACGCTTTGAACTACAGGTTAATTTTACTCGAAAAAGGAATGATAGTACAAATAATGTAACACGATATGTTTTTTGTGCATTTGCAAGTAGTTTTGCTTTGCTTTGTTTTGCCTCGAGTGTACGGATTACGAAGGCTTGTGTTCTTGCCGAAGCATCAGTGGAGAGACTAGCCGGCCCCCAGATCATATCTACAGCTAATCCCTTGCACTCTGCCACCAACTGGCACATTGATTTCAAGTGGAAAATAATCTAGTCTATCTGGTGCATTGTTTTCATTGTTTTCATTATATCACCTGGCATATGATGTCACTCACGTGATTGTATTGTGTCAAGTTGCATATAATGGTGTGCAATGTGACGTTTTCACGTCTAATTTGTGAGCTTAGCAGTCTCCCCGCATGCAAATGAAGCTCGTGTATATAAGTAAATAACCAAGTGCAATTTGTATGTAGGTTTACTCACATGTTTTAGTTAGAGTGGGTATATCTTCATTTCCAAGCAGAAACATCGATTGACTGTTGATGAGATTGAAGTCGATCTTGCGAAGATCATTGATCATCCGGGACACCGAGTCATAACTGAGTAGCACCGAGCGAGCGGTCTGGGCCAAGTGGACAAATGAAACTTGACGAGTCAAAGCCCTTCCAAACTTCTGGGCAACTAAAGTGGAAAAGAAAATATAAAAAACGATTAAAAAAGTTTGAAAGCATAAAGGATATCCAAATTTCAATAATATTGTTTGATTACTGTTATGACTTAAATTGTTGCTAAGCAACATTGATATACCTAAAACAATATCAGTATTTACATACACTTAATACATGTTGCTAGGAAGCGCGAGAACTTTATTTTTGCTTCCAAGACGGTACTATCAAATGACCGGTTTTTTTTTTGTTTGGTATATTTAAACGGTGATTTGGCGTTGCTAGGAAACACGACGTAAATCTATTTTTGATTGCAGACTGCACAATCACGTGACCGTATCACGATTTTGTATATATTTACATGGTAGCTTAGCGTCTCGTAAAGTTTTTGGTACCATCACGTGACTGTATCACTGTCTAGTATATATTTATCTTGTAGCTTAAAGTCTTGTACAGTTTTTGGTAGAATCACGTAACCGTATCACTGTCTAGTTTAGATTTACCTTGCAGTTTAACGTCTTGCACATTTTTCGGTACTTCACGCAGGGAATCCTTTAACCACACCTGGAGGTTTGAAGCAAATTCTCGAATCTCTTCCCTCAGACTAAAAGGTGTAAAAACAAAGTATAAAGTTAAAGTTATTGTGAACAACATTTTTAAGATCTGCAAGTCAAGTCGTAGTTTCTTTTGTATATACAGACTTTTGGTTTAGAAACAAACAATATTGATACATACTCACTCACAGTTTACAACACTAAAAGAATAAGAAGAAGCGAAGAAAAAGAAAAAGAAATGTCTACGAATATTATTGGTCAGAGGGTGGAGTAACCTATTATCATTAGCTCCCCAACTACCATTAAAAACTTATTAACACTATTAAAACACTTTAAAAATAGTTTAGTTAAGATTTTTTATTATGAATGACCAACCTGTCTGGTAGATCTTGTATACTGGATGGTATCAGTACATCTATCAAAACCTGAAAACGCCAATCAAATCAAAACAATTATTAATTATTTTAGTCTATTTAATAATTACTGATTAATATTATGCATATATATGTCATTGACGAAGTCATTATCAAGTAGAACTGATTTGCAAGATGAATAACTTTAAAAACTATAGAGGCTCTGTAACATTAGTTGCCGGCGCCCATAATACAGCTTGGACTGCCTGTGGTTGGATGGTAGAACAACAAAGAATTTTTGCTTTTGGGAATTGAATTCTTTCTCATGTACAACGATCGTATCATTACTGCCATCTAACATGGCTGCCTTCATCCTAAAACCCCTCTTAATTCAAAGGGTTATGAAATCGCTATAAGCACATGTGCAAAGCCACTCATTACCTTATATAGTATTGAATCACAAATAGCAATGACATCCACAATAATAGGACTCTGTAAGACTGAGATCATGTGACTAGGCATTCCTTGCCAGAAGTGAAGTATGAAGGTATTGATCTAAAATAAGACATAGAATTAGAAACATAATAACATACATAACATAACATACTCAAGACAAGGAAAACGAACGGGAAGCTAAAATCAAACTAGATGTTCTTACAGTGAAAGTATATCTTTTGTCAGATTTGCATGTCGTTAATGATTTTCTAGTTCTCTGTTATTTAGCAGAGGATCCTGAGATGATTGCATGGAACCCTTTTTTGTGAAGACGATCATGTTTGTTACGCTCAGTAGAATGAAATAATGCTTTGTCGAGTCATAAAATACAAAACATATGCTGTAAAAGGCGTTTCTTGTCCCCCCCCCCCCACCCCACCCCTTTAAAATCCTGGATACGCCACTGCTTAGTGACGTTGTTGTAGCAGCAGCTGTTATAATTGTTCTGCTTGTTAAACTTTTCATTATTATCATTATTATTATTATCATAGTCCAGCTGTTGTTATCTTTGTTGTGTCTACCTATGTTATAATTGTTTTTAAATATATATAGTACCACAACAAAGCTGCAACATCTACATCCCACCTCTCCCCTCCCATCATCCCCTTGCACATATAGTGGTGACTCGGCTTGAATCAGCTAGCTACACAATGCTATGATAATATATATGTTACCCCATCAAAGTTAGCACTGATCACGGTGTCCAGAAGCCTTTGACAATGAGTTCTGTACATCATGATGAAAGTCTCAACCTGAACGATAAAATGATAAACTTATTAAAATATGAGTTCTAGTTGTCAAGGACTGATGCTAGAACAAATTACACAGCTTGCTATCAACGCCTAGTTTCCGTTATTAGTGAATGAGACAAATATACTAGGAGGCATATGATATGTACCTTTTGCTGAGAGACTCCTTTAGGAAGGTTCAATCGCTTGGCATTTGGGAAGTCAGGCAGAAGCGTCCGTGCTTTAGAATTCAGCGCAAACTTTTTCATCGAACCCTGAAAAAAATCAAAACCGGTTATAATAATTCAGGAAGCACTACGTGTTCATAGGTCATATTTTAAAGAATACAAGGATGGAAAAACTCAGGATATTATCAAGGGTGATAGATCGTCTAAATACTGAATTTGTGAATCATGAAATAATGACAGAAGGATTAATGAGTGTGTTTGAGGTAATGAAGGAATAGCAGGGCAGGGCAGGGCAGGGCAGGGCAGGGCAGGGCAGGGCAGGGCAGGGCAGCATGCATGCAATCATACTAAACGTAAGCTTCGTACCTCTCCTCCCTTAGCTTTCATTGTCGAAAACCTAAAATGAAATATAAAAGAGGGAACTCGTTAATAGGCAATAATATAGACAACAAGAATAATGATACAAACAGTAAAAGCAAAGTGGTCATCGCTGGCGTCTGCAGCAGGGAAGACAACAGCAACATTTATAGAATGAAATTAATAAGAATTGCGTCGGTGTAAAGATGGCATGTGAAAATGATAAATGAATGTTCAAAACCATAGAGGATAAAATACGTCAAGGGGTTACCCAAGACAATGCTCCTTGCTACTTGCATGTCTCGCAATCTTTCTGCAGCATTGTTGCAGTCGTAACAACACCTTTACTTGCATCATGTACAAAAGTTAACATTTCAGTAAAATGAAGATTTCCAAACTGCTGCTGGTTTTTAATCATTCTCAAGAAAGTGAAAAAACAAAAGACACGGCGGCCATGTTGGTTGATATAACAAAAGCCTCAATGACGACATGTGCAAACAAGGAATACGTTACGGTGTTCAACATTCCTTTATACTAATAATTATGTGTTATGAGTCATAATTAGAAATTATGATGATGTTACTAGATACCTTAACATAATTTTTTTACGAGTAACTTTATTTTATTTGTATTGTAGCTGTTTTACAGTTATTTTACAATCTTCGATGTATTTTCTTATTGTTGGCGGCCAATCAAATTGCAGCTTCTATCTCCCAATCATTAATGATCATGTAAAGCTCACCTGGTGAGTCCTTGTTTGGAATAGCCGGCATGGAAGTACTGGGAGGTCTCTTTGACTCTAATGCCATAATAATGGTACCTTATAACATAACCAAGATAAATACTTAGTACGAGAATCAATATGGGATCGTAGAGCATTCGTAAATCGAACTTACTTCGATTGTCCTCGTGTGCCCAGTCGTCTGGTCGTTAGCTTAGGAAACTTTTGTCGAATAACCTGAAACCCAAGACAATCAAAATAGCGACGTTACTCATTAAAAATGAAGCGGTTATCATTCCATATAAACTTATCCTCAATCGTTATTGCCGGGCTGATCGCAATAGACTTTCACTATTCACCTTCGTATGCAAATCGCTCGTTTCAAACCATGTGATGTTTACATCATTTTCTCTAGAGAAGTGTTTCTTTATCTTCCTGAAATTTACTTCGTTCATATTCATGTGGATTTTAAACATTTGGAAGAAACATTTCCCAAAAGAACATCATGTAAACATCAGATGATTTGAAAGGGGTAATTTACATACGAAGCCAGTATTAGGTATTGCGAATCGGCGACAAGCCTATTTGAGCATGCGCAGTAAACCTTGTAAAATAAACCTCTTTAGCTTGCAATGTTTTCCCATTTCAGGCCACATGTCATATCCTTGAGTATTATGTCTATTTTTTAGCGGTTGGTCATGAGAAGATACATGAATAAGGGTATCAATCAAGCAAAGAATATTATTCTGATCAAGGGCATGACATTTGGTCTGAAATGGGCAAACACTGGAGCTTATAAAGAGTTCTCTTAAAAGTTTGATTAATTCGGATAATATATACCTTTCCAAAAGTTGCAGGACCAGAAGGACCTAGCTTGCTTTTCTTGCAGAAGTCCAGATAGTGGGTATACATCACACAACGAGGCAAACACAAGCCTTCTTTTAACTCGTAATTCTCGCCCAACCTACACAAAACAGAATTACATAGCGATCCCAGTTTGTAAATCAAAGTTTTCGTTCATCGGTTTGTGAGGCGAGTAGACCGACGTACTCACCATCTTAGTGTATCAGTCAATTGACGTTGCTTTTTCTCGAGAGCCAATCGAGAAGGACTTTCTTTTCTCTTAGATACTGTAAAGAAAAATAATCATTTGTTTTATTAGTGGATAATTTCTCAAGTAAATTAAAGGTAATGTCACTATCATAGGAAGATGTATTCAACAGCTGGTCACGTGGCCTTTCTTTGTCATGTTCAGTGCAGGCGACTTTAACTTCAGTCATCTACCGTCACTATGTCGTTATTCATCTACTTTTGGGACCTCATTACTAACCCATACTGAAGTTGCCTCAGAAAGTCCCATATTTAAAGGCTGTCCGCATTTAAAAGGGCTTGAAAAAGTACAGTAATTACAATAAACCTAGTTACCTTCGTAAGTAAATCGCCCATTTCAAAGCATGTGATGTTTACATGATGTTCTCTGGAGAAACATTTCTTTTAACTGTTTTCATATCCACATGAGTATCAGTTAGAAAGATGAAGGAAAGATTCTCTAGAGAACATCATTTAAGCATCACATGCTTTGAAATGGGCATTCTACATACGAAGGTAATTTGGTCTATTCCCTAGGACCAAATCAAAAGTCTGTAATGACCATGGTTTGCAAACATTTTAGCTTAACTTATATTTCTACGAATACTGCTTTATATTGTAATTTTTTTTTTTTTTTTTTTTTTAATTTTATTATTATTATTTTTTGTTACGATATTTTTTTGTTTAGTTAGGGCTCCTGTTGATAACACTGAATAATTGCATTTACTGAAAGGATTAAGCCCTGTCTTATAAAAAAAGAATCTTCTACTACCCAAGAGGGTCAACAGATAAAAACATGGCGGTCATGTTGGTATCAATGGGGATATTTACAAAAAATGCTAACGAGAAATGTTTTCTTAAATACCACCAATAAACGGAAAATAGAGTATTTTACAATATACCAACATGTAAAGATGTTTTAACTTCTTTTTTTTGAACCTCTGTGAGAGGTGGAGAAATTTTTTCGTCCAGTTTTGTTGCAACTGAATAAAGAAAAATGTTTTAGGAAAGAAAGGAAAAAAGGATTTCTATGAATTGGCGAGTTAACAATCATGTTAAACATATCCAATTGAAAAATCTGGTATATAAAAGATTTAATTCATGATGGCATGTGATCCCGAAACATCAAGCTTTCATGAATATAATCAATCCGCTTGGAATCCGGTAAAAACAAGACTCATTTTTATACGTGGAAGTCTCAAAAGTACTAAATAAGTTTTAATTCGTCTGTAATGGCCAGCAGAAGCATCTCTTAGGATAGTAATTACCTTCTAACGCTCTTAAACACGTTTATTATATGTAAAACAATCCACGAACGAAAGACCGCCCGGCCATGGAAAGGCAATTAACATCCAAACAAAAAATCTTATGACAAATGTTTAAACAGCTGGGATAGCAAACAGTGAGAATGGTGTTCGCGACTTGCTAAAGCAAAATAGACATATTAGAACAGTTTATAATTTTGGAGCAAAAGAAGAAAAATCATTAAGACTTATGTCAATATTTATTTTAAGAATCATTTGGAATATTTATATATTTGGAAATGTTGGTGTCATTGACTGAGATTTGTTCTGTCTCAGTTTTGAAATAAAAAAAACTTTACAAAAATATTTTTTCATCGCATATATTTGAGTACATTTTTAATCTAATCATTTCAACAAATTTTGAAACCAATAAACGATCACGACAAACTGAAACCGTTTTTCTAATTTTTTCTATGTTTTTTATTTTTTTATTTTCATAAAGTAAACAAATTCAATTCATTAAAAATATAATTTGGTAGATTAAAGAAAATTTGGGTAAACAGAAATAATGAACGTAATTACTTTCAAAAGCAAGGAAAGAAAAGGAAAAAAGGAAAAAAGCGATCAAAAATTTTAAAAAACATCTGACCAAAATGATAAATTTTAGAATAAAAATATAGTTTTTCTTAATAATAAATCTTTAGTAGTTAACGGTAGGGGGTATAAAACGAATTTCTATTTTAAGAAAATGCCCAACATGGAATAATAACGATACATTACGAATAAAATTTAATGGAATTCTAGAATAAACTTAAATAAAGTTTTGAAAAACTCGTGAACAAGTAGAATAAATCATGGCAAACTCCTAGTTTTGTTGGGGTAAGAAAGACCAATAATCATAAAGCGTCTAAAATAAGGAGAAATAATTTTGAGCCATTCGTAAAGCTTTGTTTTTGTTTTTGTTTTATTTGTTGACTAAATCAATGCAAAACGACAAGACCTTGTCACGTTATTCGAATATATTGCTTTCTAATATAAGTGACGAAAAAGGTTTAAAACGCGTAGGTTTAGCTCTATGTAAAACAAAAGTCTTGAGTCTTTTTTTTTCTTTCTAGCTAACTTTTTCACACAGCTTTTTGTCATTTGATGGTGATCAGGATAATGATGATAACGATGGCGTGTATTATACATATTGTAACAAACTAAATTTAAAATCCCCCAAAGAACTAGCTCGAACAAGTCTACGTATTTAAAAGTCACTGACAATGTATACTCAAAAAACACACGCCCATAGCAGGTGACATAAGTGGGCCCAAATAGAAGTGTCTTTCCCACCCGAGGCGATCACACAAGCACACGCATGCAGCAGAAAACGTTCGATCTCTCCTAATTAATTTTTGGCATAAAATCGACTAATAACGATGAACATTTTGAGTATTGTTTGCTGTTATATATTAAGATCGGTATTAGATCGCTTGAGTGTTAAGGTAATCGTCGATGTGAGTTTTTTTTTAATTCTAATTTTGTTTGTTTTGTTTTGTTTGTTTTTTGTTTTTTTGTTTTTTTGTTTTTTT